CGAGTGCCAGGATAGGCTCCAAAGCCACACATAGAAACCTTGTCTCGAAAAAACAAAAACAAAAACAAAAACCCTAGAATCATGAGGCCTTAGCAAAATAGTTTCTAGACTTTATCAGCTGAGGCAGGAAGAAGACCCACCCTAAGCATGGGCAGAATCATCCCCCGAGCTACGGTCCTGAATTTAACACAAAAGCTAGGGGAGCTGAGCACCAGTGCCCATCTCTCTCTGCTCCCTGATGTGGATGCCATGTGACCCGCTGCAATGCCTTCCCCTCCATGGGGGACTGTGCACACTCAAACTGTGAGCTGGAATAAACCCTCCCCTCATGAAGTTGACTTTGTCAGGGGCTTTATTGTACCAAGGAGAAAAGTAACAAATACTTTTGGTTTCTGAGGGCAACATGAGAGGGGTTGGGGGCGGGACTGAAGGGATCCTGGAATGAGTGGCACCCAGGACCCTGCAATGGGAAGGAACAAAGAGACTGTCTCACTAGTGGGCATATTCTGTACCCTCAGTTCCCAGCACTAGCTTCACTGGGGGCTGTATCGCCTAGCAGAATTCTGCCCAGGGAACTTTTTTGGTTTGGGCTTTGTTTGTTTTTCAAACCTGAGAGAATTCTAAGATTTTTTCCCCCTCTCAACACAGGGTTTCTCTGTGTAACTACTGCCTTGGAACTTGCTCTGCAGACAAGGCTGGCCATGAATTCACAGAGATTCACTTGCCTCTGCCTCCCACGTGCTGGGATGAAAGGCGTGCACCACCAACGTCCAGTGAGAATTTTAGTTTTTGAGAACATGACAAAAGTAATGCCCGCATGACAGCTGAGGTGATGGGTTTGGAGCAGGACAGTAGCTTGCACGAGCTTGGAGCTGGACCCAGAACACAGAGGATCTTGAGCCTCTAGCCCCACAGCTTCGGGAACCGAAACCACTGGGTACAATCTGGTGGATGCAGACCCCATCTGCACCCCAGATCCTGACCACCCAGCTCGGAGAACCAAGCAAGAGAGAGAGGAGAGAGGCCTCAACCTCCATGTGACCTGAAGCAAGGCAGACACTTGACTGAACCCAGCTTCCTCTCCAAACACATGAGGCTCTGGGGAGGTTGATAGCCAGAGGGTGGCCTGAGGACAACTGCATTGATTTGGGGGGTCCCTTAACTCCAAGACCATCCTGGACAGCCCATTAGCCAGCCCGAGGCTCACCCAATCTTGCGGCCACGAATCCACGGCAGGTATGGCAGTTTCTTGGCCATGATGGTGCCATCATAGAAAGAGGGCTGACAGTTTTGGGAGATGACATTGGCTGCCAGCACCGCCATCAGCACAGGCAGTGCATGAACAATCTGTCCGGTCAGCTCAAAGGCCAGCAGTGCCGTGGAGATGGTGTGGGTCACCGCCCCCGAGAAGGCAGCAGCACCTGCAGGGACAGAGCCACCGTGGGTGACTCAGGCCAGCAGCCAGGCTCACCCAGAGGGCAAGGTGGGCATAGTGTGACCATGGCTCATGTCAGCAGCATCCAGAGGGCACATACCGGAAACTGCTAGAAATACCCAGGCATGGCAAGAGAGAGGGATACAGAGGGTATAGAGTGGGGGAAACAGACAGAGCTAAGAGAGCTGGAAGTTTCCGAGAACGACGGGGCTCGGGGAGTGGGAGGCACATTGTACAGTTCGTGCCATAGACAAACGTCAGCCCTTCAGCCATATTCTAGCCCATGAGGTCTTCCCACTTGCTGTCCACTCACCTGCCAGAGCATAGCCCCCAGGCATGATGGGATTGACCTCACCTCCAGCCACAATGCCCTCTGGGAAAGCGATAGACAGGGCCTCTCCCAAGAGGCGCCCGATGGCAGCTCCTGCCACAGACTCAGAGTGAAGGGGAGTCAGGCTGACCTGACCCCCACTCTCAGTACCACCCTGGGAGACAGATGGTGTACAGGAACCACGGTTCTGCCCCACACCCCCAAATCTCCCTGGAATCCAGACTCACCGATGATGAATATGGGCATGAAGTACCCAGCAGGCATGGGGATTGTTGTGGCCAGGATCAGCATCCAGAACTGTGCGGGGATAGAAGAAGGGACCAGAGGGCAGAGGTCATAGGCAACGGGGCAGAAGTGGCCGAGGGAGGAATGGGACTCAAGTGGAAAGTTCCCGGAGAAAACGGTGCCCGTATTGGGCCTGAAGCACCGTCTGGAGTTACAGACAACATCAAACAGGCGCTCGTCAAGTTCCCACTGTGTGCTTGGCACATGCTAAGTCATTCACTTTCTCACCCTTAGCCTGCCCTTTGCGTAGAAAGAATAACTACCCCATTGACTCTGTTTTTGTTTTTAAACGGTGTGTGCGAATTTGCATGTGCGCATCTTTGCGGTGGTCAGAGGACAAGCTCAGATGTCATGCTCTGAAAGCTGTTCACCTCCTTTGCTAGTCTCTCATTGGCCTGGAGTTTATGGATCGGGCTAGACAGACAGATCAGTGAGCCTCAGCAATCCTCCAGAGCCAACCTCTCCAGTGCTGGGATTATAAGTGTGCCAGCAGCCCACCTTTTTACGTGGGTGCCGAGGGTGCATCTCAGGGCCTCATGCTTTCAAGGCCAGCACTGTATTAACTGAGCCATCGCCTCAGCCCCTCCTTCATGGTAAAGATAGAGAAACGGAGTTAAAAATGCAAAAGGGATCTGAGGCTGAAGCAACCAGTGTGACTTGTGCAGGAGCACAGTGAGTCAGGCTCAGATCAGAGACCTGGTTGAAAGTGGACAGTGCTCCAGGGTCCCGTTGTGGAGGCAGCCCCATCCTCCCCCAGATCTGCATACGGAAGGGACCCACCTTCATGACCAGGAAGAAGGCCAGAGTGCCAAAGATGTGGAGGGGACTCCAGGGGCTCCTGTGGAGGCAGCCCCATCCTCCCCCAGATCTGCATATGGAAGGGACCCACCTTCATGACCAGGAAGAAGGCCAGAGTGCCAAAGATGGTGAACCGTGGGTGGTACCATTCAAACCACAAGTTCTGGGGGTCAGGCTCAGCAGGCCAGGGTGGGGATGAGTTCCGGGTCATCAGGGCCCAGGAGTTGTTGTCAAACAGGGTGCGCAAATGCTCCGCCATGGAGAGCTGGGGCAGAGGCAGCCGTACGTCAATCAGTCAGTCAGTCAGCGTGTCCCATCTGTCCCATCATCCTCCTGAGTCTCACCCTCCCCTATCTAGCTGAGGACCCTGAGGATGGCTCTGCTATTGCTGAGCTACAACCTGGTCATCTGAAAAGTGACCCACAGGAAGCTCCCTTAGACAGTTTTGGGGAATGAATGAGACGATGTACACAGAGAAGACACCAAATGGGCTCACCCCCCACCCCCTCGCTCAGCGCCCCTTACCCGGGAAGCCATGAAACGCCCCACACCAGGTGGATAGGTGATGGAGGCCAGGATCAGGGCAGCCAGAGCTGCATACGAGGGCTTGCTGTGAGAGAAAGGGAGTTCCAGTTTGCCTCCTCTGCTTCCCCCACAATGTGGGGGACACCATAGCTCCTTACCAGAGACAGCCCCACAATGAGGAAAGAACTATGGAGGAGGACAGGGCAAAGAAACCGATAAAAAAGAAAGAAAGAAACTGACAAACCCTCCAGAGAAGACACAGGTGGCAGGAAGGAAGGCAGAGTGAGGGTTTGGATCAGAGGGGACAGTGATGTGATGACAGACCCGCCGGGCCAGGGTGCGGATTGGCCTTGCTAGGTCAGGAGGGAGGAAGAGGAAGTCTAAGATCAGGAGAAGGGACTCAGGGAGAAAGGAGACAATGACTAATGGGAGGGTTCCATGATGAGGCTGATTTCCAGTAAACAGGCAGGAGATGTGGGTACTGGTGAGGAAAGGAGACACTGTGGGTGAGGTGTCCCATAGAAACTATTAAAGGGACACATGGGTAAGACTCTGACTCAGGTAGGGGTGGGGCTTTCTCTGGCGACTTGGGAGTAGCGCTGCCTGCAGGCCTTCGCCCACCTGGTAGCCAGCAGTTTGGCGGTGTACCGATTGGTCTTGATGAAGCGGAGAAAATTCCGCTGACAGAATAGGTAAACACAGCTCAGGACACCACAGATGGCCCTGGAGTGGCAGTGAGGTGAATGAAGAGCTGTCCCAGTTCATGCCTGGAAGAGCCCCGTTGGGCTGTCAGGGCCTGAGACCCCACTTACCCCAGGGCCACAAAAAAGAAGATTTCAGGCAGGTCAAAGGGCACATCCACTCGGAAGCGGGTCTTGTAGATGGAGGTGATGGTCTCTGGGGGAGGGTGGGAGTGGGGAGTCTGAAGTCACACTCATATCCACACAGAGTCTCCCAGAATAATTCATACATGGGCTATAGCACTGTGCCCCGAGATCAAGCGTCTCTGGCTTTGTGAGTCTGACAACCTGAGTTTACCATGGAGGCAGCTTTAGCTCTTTCTGCCCTTAGAGCCTTTCTCCCAACGCGCACTGTTGGTCCCCTTCTGCCCTTCAAGGAGGGAGTCTAGCAACAAAGATTCCCCAAGAAGGGCTGGGCAGTAGTGACACATGCCTTTAATTCCAGCACTCAAGGTCAACCTGGTCTACAGAGCAAATTCTAGGACAGCCAGGGATACACAGAGAAACCCTGTTATGGAAAGAAACAAAGGAAGAAAGGAGGGAGGGAGGGAGAGAGGGAAGAAGGAAGGGAGGAAGGGAGGAAGGAAGGAAGGAAGGAAGGAAGGAAGGAAGGTA